TCGGAGAACGGGGCGGGCGGGAGGAGGAAGGAAGAGAGGACAGAGGATGAGGCGGGCGGGCAGGGGGGCGGCATGAGTCGGGTGCGGGTAAGCTGTGGCCAAGCGGGAGGCGGGGTCCGACCGGGCCTGCTTCCTTCACTGCCCCCCCGACTATCGGGACTCAGACGCCAGGGCATGCCCTCCACCCGGGCGGCCTGCACGCCCCAAAGACCAGGATACGCACAAACCCAGGCCCGGGAACAGGACGATGCACAGGTGGGGACAGACGCACAGCCAGCCGCCCCTTCCTTGAGGGCCAGGCCGAGGCACCAGCCGGCTCAGCTAGGCGACGGAGGGTGGGTTAGTCAGGAAGCAGCCGCAGTGGGCGGTGTGCGCCCTCCCGCAGACGGGCTGGCCACAGAGCACGGAGGGCAGTGGAGCTGCAGCCTCGGGCCCTCCCCGTGCTGGGGGCCGCTGGGCTCGACCTTGGCCTCCTGCCGGTCCCCACCCAGGCTCCCAGCCTGCCTGCCTGCCGGTGGGAGGTGAGGGAGAGGCAGCCTGGGCTCCGGTCCCAGGCTGGGCAGCCCGACCATGCCCAGGTAGCTGTGGGCCCGGACGCACAGTGCCCTCCTGCCACGGTGTGGCCCCTTGCCCTCCTTGAAGACCAGGACAGTCTGCTGGCCACGGCCACCGAGAAGAAGAGGCTGCAGGCCGCTCTGGACTGGGGGACTCAGGCGCACCCCTGCCTGGGCCTGTCCACGGCATCTGCAGGGCCGAGTCTGCGGACTCTGACATTCCCAGGAGGCCAGGCGCACGGGCAGGGGGGCCGGGAAGCGGTCACCAGTCGGGAGTGGAGGACGGGGCATCCTGGGACCACGCGAGGGCCTCGCCTGGGAAGTGCCAGGCAGGAGGTCCCAGCACACGGTCAGACCAGAGAGCACGGCCGGCAAGTGGCCGGTGGTGAGTGAGGTGGCCATGTACTGAGTGTGAGTGTGTCCCAGGTGTGCAAGAGCGCGGGCACGTGTGCAGGCCTGGGTGTGCACGTGTGTGAGCGAGCACCTCGCGAGTGAGAACGCGCGTGCGTGTGAACCTCCGCTCCCAGCGCGTGTGCACGAGGGGCTGCGTGGCGGAGCCACGGGGACTTACAAAGCAGATGTCAGTAGCGGGTGCGTCCTCGTCGTCCGAGGCCTGGCTGGCGGGCTC